AAAAGAAAAAGAGAGAAAACAGGTTCAGAAAAGATATACACAGGTTGAAGCAGAAGAATTGTAAATTAGAGCCTATCCTGGGCAACTCAGTGAGGCCCTACCTTAAAATACAAATAAAAAATAAAAATAAAAAGACCTAGGGATGTAGCTCAATGGCAAGTGTATCCCTAGCTTTGATCTCTAGTACAAGAGAAAGAGAGAATGAATGAACATGAATGTGGGACACTTATTCATCATTACTCATTCACTCAGGAAATATTTGCTGAGAATGTGCTAAGCTCTGTTCTACCTGTTAGTGACAGAGCTGTTGAAGACATGACTAAAAGCAAAAATAGAACCAATCAAGAGGAAAGGTAATAGAAATGAACTCAAAGAGGTAATGGAGTCTCAGACCAAATACGTACTTTGAAATATTGTCATGTCTTTAAGTTTTAAGAAGGAAAAGAGAAATGACTGGGTAATGGAGGAGCAGTCAATGCTGAATTACATTTAAAGTCTCATTCTGGAAGTTGTACTCAGAATAGAATCTAGGTGAACAATGGCAGAAGTAGGAGTACCACTTAGGATGGTACCATAGAATCCATACAAGTAAACATAGTACCTTGGATGAAGCAGTAAGGTGATGACAAGAAGCAGATTCTGGGTACCATTTTAAATGTAAAACTGGCAGGATTACATGGAATGTCCAAGAAAAAGAGCAAAATCAAGGATGGTACAATAAATTGAATTCCAATGCCCTAAACTTTGATCTAATGTTTGCTATGTCTCACAAACTTAATTCTGCTTATCACCACTAATGGACCAATGTTACTAATGAAACTCTTCATCTTCCTGTACTCTGTCTCCAGAAAAGAAATCTCTGTCCAAGTCTAGGTGCTGTGAGATCATTATTATGTATTATTTCTGTCTCCAAACCAAATCAGTTTCAAAATGCTCTTTAGATCTTCAAATCTGTCAAATTCTATTTCCAATGCTGTTGTCTTAGATCAGACCCTTATGTCTTGCCTAAACTCCCAGAATGAGGGCCAGAATAAAAAAAAAAATCATCCAACACCTATATAATCAAGCAAGTAGTTATACAATTTATAGTCACTATGTTCTTAGATTAAAAAAAAAACTTACAAATTGATTTACTTGCTTCTAATTTTTCCATATCCAAATGTATTTTTAAAAGACATTTCTAAACAAAAATTTGAAAGAAACGACTCAAAAGGAAAGAACAACTGGGATGGGGGAAAGGAGAAAAGAAAGGAAAAGAAAAGAAAAGAATACACACATACACACATAATATAGCTACGATAATTCTAATTTCAACTAGTTCATGAAAGGAAAAGTTAGTGCTCATGTTGTTTGATCAGTTTTGCATGTCTATATTCAATAATCTGAGAAACTACTTTGAAGATAACAATATGTAATATAATAATAATTGTTAATTTTCTATTGTCTTATTTTGAAATTCTATACTATTGTTTCTATACTCTAAAAATTTTTTGATGTTCTTCTGCTTCAATAGAGCTGAGGTTTTTTATGTGATGATTTCTCTGCCTGGATATAGTCTTAGATCACTATGTTTCTCACCTTCTTCCTTCATCAGTATATTCATCAAAACAAACCTACCTCAAGAAAATCCTTAGGTGCATAAACAGGTCGGAAAAGGCTTAAATCTATAGTAGGATAGATTAAAACAAAATATCAGTTAATATATAAAGCCTCTTTCCTATGTTTCTGTGTAAATAGAGTAATTAAAAAAATTTGCAGAATACTGAGTATTTGTCAATGTTCTAAATATTAAGAACACAAAAATGAAGACAGTTACTGTAACAGCCTAGATTATATATTATAGAAGATAAGTCTACTATTATAAATTGTGATCAATTATTCATAACTGAGTTGATAAAAAAGTATCAGTAAAATACAAAGCTTCCATATGAACAATCTTAAAGTACTTAGAATATGAGCATGATTTCTCTAGCTGTGTCCACATCTCTCCTCGGAATTCCAATCGCACACGGCTCCTCCGTTGTGGCACTTATTTCTTGCCTCATGCACCAAATTATTTTAGTAGTGATGAAGCTATGTACATATCCATCTATAAAATTATAAGCTTCTACTTGTCATATTAAATAAAATAGTGTTTTTGATGTTGAGTAGCTTTTGTTAACTGAACCCAGAAATTCTTAAAAATATTTTAATCCCTTGAATTTTTTTTTTCATGTTTTAAGCTATCCTTCACATCTCGATGTACTTAAGCCTGCAAAATATTTACCTTAATTAAAAGTTAAGCGTCTCAGGAATCTACTAAATAAATTTTACTTACTTTTTATCAAAATGTTTTTAAATGCTGCTTTATAAAAGGTTACATGATTTAAATATTCTCAAAATAGTGGAGAACAAAGATAAAAGGAATTCTTAAACTGCAAAGTAGAAGTTTAAGCAAACTGAACAGATGACAGGAAATTAACTCCGAGGGAAAGCTGCTGTCTTTCCACAGAGCTGCTCATTGTGCTATTTTGGATCCACAGCTAAGAAGGCGATTCTTTTTCCACTGCTACATTGTGCAGAAAGCTCTTTGTATACCTGGTTCATCAGTTCCCATTTCATTCCATTTATTAAGAAGTTCTTTCTGTTGTCCAACTGGTCTCTAAAAAGGTAATTTGAAAATTGGCTTTATTTTTGAAGATAGCAATGTAGCTTAGAGACAAAAATCAATAATGCATTTTAAAGTTTAAAGAAGCTGCTGTGAAACTGGGGAAATAATTCATTAAATACAGCCAACTTTTTACAATTACACTTTAATTTAGCTACTAAACTGTATGCAGTTTCAATGGCTCAGGTAGGATGTAGTGCTAATGAGTCCAAGAAAAGAAGGAAAATGAGCTGGACTGGTCAGCAAATTTCACAAAGAAAACCTGCTCCTCAGCCACTCCCTGCACCTCCTACCTCACCCAGCAGTGTCAGAAATGCCTCAAGGGGGACTGACCAAGAGACAGTGACTAAGCAAGGAGCAGCAGCATCGTCCTAGACGAAGACAGTCTATGACACAATGCTATAGATTTGGGCAGTTTTTCACATAAATTCTGCTTTGACACCATCTTTACAGTGCCTCCAGTGATTTATATTATCAGAATGCACTACATCTGGGAATGAACAACAGGCAGGGAAAATAAGTGAAAGGAATTTGTTCCCACCTAATTTTAAGCAACTATGTGGCATGTGGAAAATCCTCCAAATGACTTTCTTTTCTCATTTCTTCCCCCATAAAGCCCAGAGTGAAAGAGAAGTGGTGAGTATTGCATCTAAATAGAATTCACTTTGGCAGCCAAATGACAATTCCTATATCCAAAGGATGGTACCATATTGCCTGTGACAAGACCACTGAAGGCCTGAATTCTATCTCCAATTTAAGAAACATGGCTACTGTGCTCCATTAGCTAAAATGTAAAGAGACTAAAGGTAGTTAAAATCTTTAAAGTATACTCATCATTGTAGTCAAATGTTTAAATAATCTTATGTGTAGATTCCCTATTTCTGCTCTCAAAAATCTATTACAAGTCATTAAAATACACATCATGGAAATCTATATAGACTATACCCCACAATTAGCATTTGCAGATTTTATTTTAAAACAAGCTGATATAACAGTAAAAATGAAATAATGTGCCCGACAGCTGTATAACTTCATGACACTTTTCAGTAGTTAAATTCACAATAAAACAGCTAAGCAGAGAATATTAAAAGTACCTTTCGTGCCAGTGGGATACTCAGCTCAGTGCACATACTATTTAGACTCTTCAAAATTCTTTTTTCCCAACTTCCCTGAAACATAAGGAAAAATCTGTTATTGCTTTTGTCAACAGTATCCAAACTAACAAATTAAAATCATGAGTTATATAGAAATGGCAAGGCTCGTTGGGATTATCTTTGTTAGTTCATTAAACACACATTAAATATTGTCCACTGTGTGCCACATAGTACTATGTTGAGTGCGGTGAATTAAGCAGTGTTGTAGTTTGGCATTGAATACTGCCAACAGCTTATGTATTTAAGATCTACTCTGAAGGAAGGACTAGTGGGAGGAGGTACAACTTCAAGAGATGCAGCTAGTAGAAGAGCCTTAGGTTAACCAACGCATGTTTTTGAAGGGAATTATGGGACCTGATTCTTTCCTTTTTCTTCTGTTTCCTGGCCACAAGATGAATGGTTCTGGGGCTGGGGAGAGACAGCTCTACAGTCTTAAGCGCCTGCCTGGCAAGGGCAAGGACTTGGGTTCAATCCCTGGTACTGCATGCCATGCCAACTACCGAAACTGGGGGTGGTGGAGCATGCCTGTAATCCCAGCACTAGAGAGGCTGAGGCAGGAGGATCGCTATGAGTCCAAGCTATGCAGCGAGACCCTGTATCAAGTAAATAAATAAATACATAAATAAATAATTTTTAAAAGGTGAATGGTTCTGTGCTGCCACATACTGCCCCACCACTGGCATCATCAGCACCACTGGTGTCCAGCACAGGTCTAAAGGGATTTTCTCCACCTAATCATGGATTAAAACGTCTAAGACTGTGGGCCACAATAACCCTTTTCTGTATGCTACTTATCTAGGATGTTTTGTTATAACGATAACTAATACAAGCAGTGGATAACAGAAAATCTCAGTCCACATAGAACTGACATTCTCGTTGACACTGGTAATGAGTATAGATGGTAAAAATGCCAATAGACCTATGGAGATTAACACTGTAAAGAAAATAGCAGAAAACAAAAAGGTAAATGTAAGCATTTTATGTTTGCTATTTATGAATCCTATGAACCTATTCAAGTTAGTTGTAGATATTTTATACTACAATTTTTTCCAAACACAACATTCTACTCATAAGTACATTAGCATTTATATTCTTGCTTTGTTTTTGTTTTTGCAGTACTAGGGATTGAACTCAGGCCCTTGCACTTGCCAGGCAGGCGCTTATTCTACTGAGCTATCTCCCCAGCTAAAATACTTTATTTTGGGCTGGGAGATGGCTCAGAGGATAGCAAGCACAAGGGCCTGAGTTCAATCCCCAAGTACAAAATAAATAACTATTATTTTTGTTTGTTTTAGCATTTTTATTCTTAAATCCCGTCTTCTATGTGCCACAACGCTATGATCACATGTGATCATTCACCATGATTGTCAGCTTGACTTTCGGGTGTGTCTGTGGAGTTTGGCACGTAGCCTGGCAAAATGAGAGTGGAAGATCGATCAGACTGTGTGTGGCAGCATCGAGTACACTCCCAGCCCAGATGGAATGAAGGGAAAACAGGAGAAGGAAGTCGGCCTGCACTACAGAGCTCCGTTCTGCTTTCGTGGGTGCCATGTGTTCTACTACTACCATCATCTATAGACATAAGATTCCAGTTTCTTCAGCCTTTCAAATATGCAGCAAGCTTGCAAGCCTAGAGTCTAGAACTGAAGTGAATCTCACTGACTCCTCTTGTTAGGCAGCCTCCAGTTTCTTAAAGTGGGCAGTTACTATATCTTCTAGCTCTCCAATGTGCACACAGCCATTGTGGACTATCTTGCTCTGACTTTTTTTTCAGAACCAGGGATTGGACTCAGGCCCTTGTGCTTGCCAGGGAAGTGCTTATTCTACTGAGCCATCTCCCCGGCCCCTTTGCTCTGATACTTATCCAGTAAACCCTCAGGTACAGCTGTATATACATGCTGTACATATTCTCCTGTTGATTTTGTTCCTCTGGGTAACCCTAAATAATACCCATACCTAGATAAACTGATAATATTTCCTAATATTGTCTAATAGTTATTTTATATTCAAAAAATTTCAGTTGTTTACAGATTATATTTTATAGTTTTTCTTTTTAATCAGAGCCCATTCAACATTCACGTATTACATTTGGTTGTTATGCCTCTTTCAATGTAGTGTAATGTAAAATCTCTGTCCTTTACATTTTTTGTGATATTGACTATTTTGGAAAGAACAGGCCAGTTATCTTTCAGAAAGTGTCACAGTCTGGATTTGTCTTACTGTTTTTTATGAGTGTTGATTACCTTATTTTCTGGCCTACCTTTTATAAACTGGAATTTATAAGTTCATTTTATTAGTAAATCACAGATTTTATTACACACACACACACACACACACACATATATATATATATATATATAATATCACATATATTATAATACACTATTCTTTTCATGACAGGATAAAATTCTACAGAAAGTTTTGTCATTTCACTAAAATAAGCCTACAGGCCGTTTCTAATTCACTGAAGCCAAGCTAAAATAATAACTAAATTCTAAACCTCAGATATAAAGCATAGTTGTGGTTATTCAATAAAAGTAAAAGAATAACAACAATTCTTTTAAGTGGTGTTTATAAAATTTCAAGATGCTAATAAATGTAAATTGCTTTGAACAATGGCACAAATAATGGTAGCAATAATTCAGTAACTGACAAGTTTTACTGTAGCTCTGATTATTCATAGCTGGGGTTTTTAATTGCTATTTTATTTTATTGATACAGCATTTCACTATTTGTTCCAGGTGACCTTGAACTCACTATATACTCCAGGCTGGCTTCACACTTGCAGCTATCCTCCTGCCTTAGCCTCTTAAGTGTCGGGATTACAGGTGTGCACCACCACGCCCAGCTCACATGGCTGTTTTTAAATATATATATTTAAACACATTGGTACATTTCTTTACCTGGAATATGTTCCCGATATTCTGTTTCAACACCCTTATTCTTACTTGATCTAGATAAATCTTAGTCATCTTTCAAGTACCAACTTAGAAATCATTTCCCCTACTAAGCCTCCTCTCACCAGAGACCAGAGTGCTGTTCCTACAGCCTCTCCTGGCACCTTGTCCTTAACTCACCCAGCACATATTTCACCTGGGTTACACTTAAGAGGTTCTCAATTAATACAACTGATTTCTACTTTACATAATCTGAAGCATTGTAAAAATATTAATACAACGCCCTAAGCAACAAATGAACAGAAAATAATTCATCTGTAGGACAATAATGTACTATAAACTCATACAAAATACTCCACAAACTTGCTCCGTTACATTTATATGCAATACCCTCCTTTTCCTATATAGTTTTCTTAAATCCAGGGCTTATTTGGTACTCCTTATTTGAGTAATATTGATCAAGCTTTAATTCTAACAACATAATATTCATTCCACTCCTAGCAACCTAAAATATACTATATTTTGATAGATCTTATTCATCTTTTAGATCTCAGTTTAAAAATATCACTTCCCTTATAAGATTTCTGACACCTGCTCTTTCCACCCCAAATTGTAGAGGAAGCATATAAGAAAAGGTTTATATTTCAAATTCCATTTCTAACTAAATTATTACTATGAAAATAGAATTTTTGCAGATATTAGAAATCCATGCTGGCATGGTAGTGCACGCCTGTTGCCTGTTATTCTAATACTTAGGGGACTTGGGTAGAGACCCTATCCCAAAACCAAAAATAAAAAGGGCTGTGGTGTAGCTCAGTGTGAAGGCCCCAGTTCAATCACAAGTCCTGCCAAGAAAAAGATTCCAATATCTACATTTTTATTATTTATCTTAATAAAGAGCTAAATTGTTATTGAGCCATGGTTTCAAATGTTTTTGTATTCACCCATTCATGAAAGCAGCTATAAAGTTGATAAAAAGATAGTATAAAATTAAAGTTGCAATAGACATCAATGAGTGGCCTATAATATACACTGTACATGCATATCTAAAGACTGAAATACTCTACTCTAATGTCGTATAACACTTACCAAAAACTTAAATATGAAGACAATTAAAAACAGAAAGATGACTTTTACAATGACATTCTAACAAGTTATTGCTAACTAATCCTTTAAAGAATTAGTTTTGCTAAAACAGTTAACTGTTTTCTGTAAAGTACAATTAAATATCTGACTATGCAAAGAATTTTAGTTTACCAAGTTTAAACTGAATAGTAGGAATAATAGAGAAAATGGTTAAAAGAAAGAATTGCACAGAAGAGAAATAAGACATGAGAAGCCAGTATTTAGAATGGAAAGAGAGTTGAGGAATTACCTCCATTGATTAAGTGCTATTTTATTAGTTATATGAAACATGCACCATTATCCTCACTTTATAAATGAGGAAACTTTTAAGAAGAACAACTGAGGACAGAATATATTAAGACCTGAATAAGCCAGGCATGATGGCACATGCTTGTAATCTGAGCTTTCATGAGGCTGAAGCAGGAGGATTACAAGTTTGAGGGCCACCTGGTAACACAGTAAGATATAGTCTCAAAAAACAAAAAAGGACTGAGGAAATTTCTTTGCTACACAACTGAAGAAGAGATACAGCCTAGGAAGAAACACAGAATGTGGCTAAAAATTGAGATAGAGAAAAGATGTTGAATTCGGGACTTTTTTGGTTAAAACAGGAGTAAGTGACATAATATCTAATATTTCAAATAATGAAAAGACATTGATTAAACAACTATTTATTGGGCATCTATTAAAAACATGTCACAAAAGTTGCATAAAATATAATTATTGTCACTAAGAAATCCATGACTTTCTTGGCGAAGGTGGGGAGGATAAGGTACACACATAAATAATGTGGGATAGGATTCCAACTGTTCATATAAGTTCTAACAGTCCACATGTCATACGTCACAGAGAGATCGCAATAGAATGAACCAAGAAGAGGAAGTGGCAGCTACGTTCAGCACAACTTCTTCCTGGCAGTGTAACATATACCACTTCCTTTAAAATCCTGAAAAGAATAAAAGTGAATCCAGTGTCTGAATATGTCTTCTCCAT